TTTTCAAAGAAAATATGATTTATTTAAAAAGCACTTATTTAAATTATAAAAGATTCAATTGTAAATCAACGTTTGTTTAATAAAAATGTGTATAATGATAATTCGACAATAGCCTCAATTTTTTCTTTCAGAGTAGCAAAAAAAATACTCACAACTTACGAAAGAAAACGTGTGAAGTAACAACAATGCTCTTAAAATCTTCAGAGTTAGGTTTAACTCGCAATAATTTTTACGTCTTAAGTGCAGCCAAATTCAAAAATCAGTCTATTATGAATGTTCACATGTTCACTGGAAATATGTTACAAAATTCCAGTAAAAATTACGACTAAAAATTAGTTAATATAATTTTCAAGTTTTTCACATCTTTCAAATATTTGTTTATAATATGATTGAAACAATCTAAACAGTTCAGATTTCAATTATATGCCAAATATTCAACATCCTGGAAAAACTCGGAAATAGCCTAAATTAGCATTGGTTTAGACTGTTCTTTAGTAAAAACGTTAGAATTGTTTTATTGTTGAAATTGTAGCATCTCCAGATATATAATATATCATTGCATAGATAATTGTGTAGTATAAGTTTCACTCTTTACTAGTTACTATTAGCACATGATAATGCTAATGCTTCACAAATGAAAGTAGGGCTAGTTTCGTCGATTGAAATGACTGGATTTAATTTAGTATCAAGGGATTCTATAATGTATTATCTGGGAAAAAATATGCAAAACAATTGTTTTATTTAGCAAAAATCAAAGCCGATTACGTGACATACGGCCGCATATGCTATACAATAACGATAACGTAGGGGGTCTATATATAAGGAATTATTTGTGCGTATTTGTATTTGTCGCAACATAGTCTCAAAATTATTATTCTCATATGTTTTATAGTTTAAATTTATAATTTATATATATATGTACATTCTATAGTTTATATAAAGAACTACCATATATTGGAAATGTTTGGTGTGCTCCTGATAGATATTGTAAATAAATTATCGCTGTCTTAAATAACTTTATTCTCTTGTAAATTTCTCTGTTTGATTAGTACATTATTATTAATAAAGATTTGCAAAAATAATTTCTTAAACTGACCTTAAAATAACCAACATACGTTACACAAAAAAAAAAGTAAAAAAAAACTCAATTTAAACAATTTTCCAATAATTTATAGAGAACAATGCCCATAAACTTAATGAGAATTATAATTTCTTTAACTTTAAAATTACCCAGCAAGCAATATAATACACAAAATTATAACTGTTGAATAATACCTATTCAAATTGCCTAATGCAAAATGGATAACTGAACTATTCTAATAGTTAAAGATTTTTAGAACGCTATAAACAAAATCCCGATATTGACCGTTCGAATGTCAAAGGAAATAAACAGCACTAATATTCATAAATATAAATAAATGATAAATTTATATTATAATTCTCTTTTTACACATTTTTTAAAA